ATACTATTGTTCTTTTTTATACCAAATATTAGCTGCGTTTCATAAAACACACTCACTTTTTTCGTATATAATATATATTTTTTCTTTTGGAGTCGGTCGGTCGGCAGCAGCAGCACAATCAAAGTATTTTTCTTTTTGTTTGATTTTTTTACCGTGTTCTCAAAACTCGTTTAAAATCTAACGAAAATTTCTTAAATAAGCAAAGTTAATTTTTGTTCACTTATTTTCACTTGATATACGTGGTTTTCGTCTATTAATTTCCACAAAAATTTACATTTTAAGCAATTTTTTTTTATTATCGAAAATATTTTTGCCGTCACGTCAGTTTGATGGTAATGGAATTGCAAACTAAACAGTGTTGTTAACATAGGGGTTGAGTAATGAAAATCTCTAAAGGTGTTTGTTGGGAAATCGCTTGAAATAAATATATATTTATGTTTGCTTTTTTATGGATTCGGTTTTTAAAATGTTTCCACTGACTAGAAATCTACTAGATTTGCGTAAACCTCTTCAAGGTGTTTCCATTAAGTTTTTAATATTTGAATGTTCGAACAAATTCTGTAATATTTTTACAGGTAAATTAATTTTTTACACAGATCCTTTTCATTTTAAATTGTCCATTACGTATACATTGAATTTCTATAGTTGAATCAATAATCGTTCAAATCGAGCTTTGTACAAAACATGAAAGAGTGGCATCTCTATATTTCTTATCAGTTTTTTCTCCTTTTTAAAATATGATATTTAGTAAAACAAAAGTTATGGCATCTCTACATTTCTTATCAGTGATTGTTTTGTTCTTCTTTTATTTTTATTAATGAAAACAATTCTGTCTGTGGTTGTGCATCAAAATGTGTTTTTTAGTCTGATGTAAATGTAATCAATAAAAAATAAATTAAAATTATTCCAAAAACGAGTAATGTAAGTGTAAACGAAAATAAAATGTGGCTTTTTATAGTGCTGACCCTAGTATTGTCACAAAGCCAAAAGGCGGGTACCACAAATCATTATGCACTAAAAGATGATGGTATCATCAAAAGGCGCCTCGACTCCCCCTTTCATTTAAGACAGCCGGATAATCTTTATAGTTTTATAGAACAAATACGTTACACGGAAAGTGCCGAAGAGGCGTTTCGAAAAATGCAACGTAAACGCAGTACATTAGATGATCATATTGTCATAACAGACCAGTTGTTGCAGATCATATTGGAACGTTCCAAATGTGTGAGAATGTATGTGAAAATGACGGGTTTAAGTGATTATTTGCGTACTACGGGGGCGTCCATGAAAAGGCTGAAATTTCCCGAAAAACTGGAAACAAGAAAGGAGTCGAAGGGAGTGGATCCCATTTGCCGGGATTATGCTGAACTGCAGACGTCACGTGATAAATATGCTCACTTGAAAAGTTTCAAAGCAGATACTTTAAAAACGTTGAGTATAGAACGTGAAGAGAATCTATTAAAACAAGAAGTGGGTTTGAAAGATGCCGAAAGTGTTACCGAGACCATACACGAGATTTCGGTTAAAGGTCTGGCTAATAATCCCACTTCATGGAAATTCCATATGCTGGGTTCCTACTATTGGCGTTTAACGGGTCATGCCAAAAATGCCCTAGACTGTGCTCGTCTCTCGGTAATGCTGGCTCCTGAAGAGAGTAAAGATATTCCGCTACTTAGTTTAGGCACAATTTTGGTAAGGGCTAAGCTGTGGGATGATGCAGAGACAATTTTGAATGAGGCTATTAAATATGGTCCGAAACATGGTGAAAATTACATAGCTTTAGCTACACTACTGGCTTTAAAGCATGACTTTAAAAGGGCCAGAGAAAATTTTCACATGGCCGAAAAACTGGATGTGTCCATGTTTAATAATTCTTTAAAAATGCGTCAATACATTGAATGTTTGGAGCCATTGGATACAGATGCTACTAAATTATTCGGTTTTGTTAAATACATGCTAAGAGAAATCAAAGAGGTCAGTAAATTAAGGCAGGAGATTTCACAATACCAGAATAAGATTATACAACAGCAGGTAAATTTAAATGAAAATATATTAAAGGATAACGTTTATTTATTTTGATTCAACTTTTTATATTCTTAGACACCTTTGGCTTCACGCTTTACCGACAATGATCCTCAATTGAAAGCCGATCTTTTGAAACGTTTTCAATATTGCAGCACACGCAAGTCTACGGAAAATCAAGAGCCGGTATTATTTTGTGATTTTTATTCTGATTTGCAAATGCAATTGGAAAGTAAACAATTCGATGCTGAACTGCTGGATTGGCAGGTGAATCGTTACATTAGTCATTTGTTTGAAAAGTTTCCATTTGAGTATAAAAAACAATTGGAAATACTTTATAATAATGTTAAGGCCGTGTCGCCCACAAAACTGGGAGTTTATAGCATGTAGTTTAAGGGATACTTTTAATTTTAAATGAAAAATTATTAAGATTTAAAGTATATATTTAGTTCTTTAGTTAAAGTTTATATTATCTTTAGATAAGGTTTAAAAGGCCTGTTAGTCAATTAATCTATAATTAGCAGGTTAAGCGGAAAGGTCTGATATTAAATAAACCATTAAAATTTGGAAACAAGTTACAAAATAAATTTAGAAACATTACTGCATGAAAATGGTAATATTAGCATTTAAACCAGCTAATGTTTTAAAATTAAAAGCAAAGCTTAAGTTCAACACTAAACGTTTTTTTTTTTTTTAATTTTAAGATTTGTGATATCATATCACTGATATGTTTCTTTCGGCTTAAGAGTGAGAAGTTATAAATGTGTTTTATAAAATGTATATAATTTAATAATTCTGTAGCTCTCTAAATATATTATAATAATAAACTAATAAAAACAATAATAAAATACTCTTTTTATAATAAAAAGTACTCTTTTTATAATAATATTTAAAAAAAAAACTTAAGTTTTTGCAGTTTTATTTGATAGATAATTCATCAAATTTAATTTCATTATTAACTTCATCTATTGCAAAATTAAACTTAAACCCACTGCCAGAAGTCAACTGTAAATTGGTTGCTTTAAAGTTACTAGCATCTGTTGTTTCCTTAGGTTGTTGTTCCGATTCTTGTGTTTGATTTTCTACAGCGTTGCTGGGATTAAAATTAAATTTAAAATCTTTAACCCGATGTTAAGATGGCGGATTTTTTTACAAAACTAGATTTTTTATTTACTTCAGTAGAATTTGTAAATTTGATTTGTTTAGGAGCTGAAAAGAAGTAGTAAATATTAAGTTAGATTTATTTTCATAAACAATAATTGGAAGATCCGAAGAATTTAAAATACTAATTTTGTTATTTTATTGAAAATATCTTATTATCTTCGTCCTGTTCTTTGAATATATGAAAGCTTTATCCCAAATAGCTGGTGGATCGCCCAAACTATGATCATTTAGTTTTTGCAGTTAACATCCACATGGTCTTCTTGTCGATGTTTTTCAGATAGACAAAACTGTTTTTATTTTTTGTCTTTCCTATTGCACTTACCTAAACTCATTTTCTTTTCCTCCTCTTTCATCTTGGCCCGGGTAATCGCCCATGGCAGCTTTCATAACCTGCCGCTTTTTAATCAAAGGAGCACTATTACCTTTAAGAACTTTTAAATTCTTAATAGTATCTTCAGCTGTTAAGACGAAAGTTTGGAGACATTAAACTAATACTCATAATGTATAGAAACATTTCTAATTTCCCTACTTACCCACTTTTTGTGATAACTTTCCCGAATTTAAAGCATTCTCCAGCTGATGAACACACCAGCAAAGTTCCAACTCAAATTGTGAATCAGTATCGCTGTTATTAGATTTGACGGTAGGAGTTACAATTGGCATAGGTGGCCTTAGAGATTTGGGCTTCTTCATTTTGTTCATTTTCTTTAGGAAATGTATTTATTTATAATATAATAAAGATCAGGATTTAAAAAATTAATTTATTTACTTTTTGTATGTCGTGGTCGGCAAAGATCTAAGTCTACAAAAAATTACGGCGTTGCATGCTGACACAAAAAGTGGTGGCGGCTTAATAACAACTGTAAGGTGGCAAAATGTTCTGCTATTTTTTGTGAAAGAAAAATGGGTTTTTTGTGAAAGAAAAATGGGATTGAAAAGCAGTGTTTTGGAAGATATTTGTTATATATAAAATCTTTTTGAATATATTTTAGAACCGACAAAAGTATAGATTATAGAGCAAACTTATGTACTTACTTCTCTTATGAAAAATAACGGACAAATCTCTTCACTATTAAACTTACTAAACACACCATTGTTTTAGTCTGGCAATGCTTTTTTGACACCTAAATGTCATGATAACACAAAAAATCCACAATAAATATGAATAACAAAAAGAAATTAAAAAAATCGAACGAGCAACGAAACGAAACACGATAAAATAATCTGCTTTGTCAAAAAACTATAGAAAATCTATTTTTTTAACGAAAACTTCTACAAGAAATTATAAATTTTTATTAATATTTGCAGATATTTACAAAATAAATTAAAACATTGTATTAACAAATTAAGAATTTAGCTATTCAAAATAGCAAGTGTTAAACACAACACGCCGACATAATGTTTTCTTAAAATAGTACCAAAAAAGGTAAAAATAAAAAAAAGAAATATCCAAAACTTATTGAAAACTCAACAAGCCTATAAAAACGGCCCACACTCAAAAAATTTGCACTGAAGAAAAAAATTAAGTAAAATTAATAAAGTGTATGAAAAAGAAAAATAAAGTTAACGAAACAATCGAATAGAATTAAATAATATAAAGTTATAAACGAAATATTAAAAAATAATATAAATAAGAAAAATTAAAAAAGTACAATTTGTTCAAAAAGTGACGTTTTGCTGCTGCTGCACATTACGAACGCACCGCCATTCAATACAATCTTTAAATAATACTACGAATAACAGAGAGGGAAGAAACGTAAAATACTTTAAGTTTATTTAGGAACACAGAATAAATTATAAACAACAGCCACAAAATGTCCCGACCAAGACCAAAACTTCATATGACCATACAAAAAGAACCGGAACCAGAATTGTAAGTTTTTTCTTTCTTTTGATATTTAGAAAGTATTTAAAGTTATTCGTTTTGTTTTTTAGAGTTCCTCCCCCGTAATTTAGATTCTAGCACTACTATACAAATTGGAGATCGAACCTTCGAAATTGATGCTGATAGTCTAGAGAAAATTTGCGATTTGGGTCGTGGCGCCTATGGTATTGTTGAGAAAATGCGTCACGAACAAACCGGTACGGTAATGGCGGTGAAACGCATTACTGCTACCGTCAATCGTAAAGAACAAAAACGTTTACTTATGGATTTGGATATATCGATGCGTTCCAGCGATTGCCCTTATACGGTGCACTTCTATGGTGCCCTATTTCGTGAGGGTGATGTATGGATTTGTATGGAAGTTATGGATACCAGTTTGGATAAGTTTTATCCAAAAGTTTTTAAGAATAATCTTATTATGGAGGAGAGTGTTTTGGGAAAGGTAAGTAAATTGGAAAGAGTCAAGCACCTCTATGTATGTAGTTTCTGAATGTTCTCTAAATGTCTAGCCGAAGATTTAATCCTATTTGCATCAAACTTGATAATAACAAATGAAAACGAGAAAATTGTTATCAAATTAAATCTCTCGAAGTCTAGTAGTTCTAGGTTTTGGTACTCATTTATTCTATATCCGTTCCATCCCACTTGTAGGAAAAGTTTTATACATAATTTCAATTAATACCTTAAATGAGAGAGCAGTCTCGCTTGTCTCACAACAGTAATGGTTTATCAAAGGGCCT